AAAAAAAAAGGGACCAAATCCTAAATACTACTAACAGCTGAGCAACAAAAACAAGATAGTGAAGCAAAATGGGTTCATAAAGCATAAACATGACTACAAAAGGAAAAGGAAGCGAATCACAATAGCTTCTGCACATGATCTGTTTAAGCGTCGCAGTTATCATACCTGAAAATTAAGTGGGCTGCGAGGTTTTCTTGATTTCAAGCAGATTCAAGTCTCAAAGTTTGAAAACAAAGGAGATCAGCCCACAATAGTACAATCTCATTCACTCGTTGGGCTCTGAAAAAGTTGCTGGGACAGTGAGAAAGAGAGCACCTTTAAGTGGAGTGATTGCCGTGTCTCTCTCTGTGTGTGTGTGTGAGAGAGAGAGAGAGGCCTGTCGGCTGTCACTGTGAGGGACTTGACTTAAATTCTGATTTTTGTCGAAAGCTTGATTTTTTTTTTTAGCCAATCGCGATATTCAGAGCTATATTTCGACTAATTCGTTAGTCAACTCGTATTGCACACTTGGCAGTGGTGGGTGAGTCTCCCAACAAGGGTTTTTTGCATCCACTCCAACCTGAGACATTGTTTATGCGACATCAAACTATTTACCACTTGAGTCAACTCATGAAAGCTTGATTTTGAACCATATGCCGACAATCTTGCAGATATTGTTTTAGTCGATAATGTTTTATTTCTGTAAATTTATAATTCACATTTTGACAATTCTTTGTGTATAATAAATACTAGTAGTTCGTTACCGGCCCAATTATTGTCATAAATTAGCTTGTAGTTCAACTGTAATCGATATCTATGCCATGCCCAAAAAAAAAAAGAAAAAAAAAAAATGAATGATCACTATTTTTAGTATATTATTACCATATTTTCATTTGTTCTTATAATATATAACAAAAAGCACGATAGCCGCGACTATTGTGAAAACATGAGTAACGACAATGAGCATCGAGTTATAATATGATATTCAATTGTGAGTTGTCGCGCATTGTTTATATAGGGAAAATATGTTCAATTTATAAGTCTAATTGGCTACTCCTCCTTCCACCAATTGGTTATGGGATTGAACTTCGCTTGGGCTTCACTTTGGTTTTCCTTGTCTTGGTGCGCTTCATCTGCATGAGACCACACTCGTTTTTCTCCACATTTCTTACAAGTTAAATCTCATTTTTTCTTAGAATGCCTTAATTCATAATCGAAATGCAAAAGTGAGACAACACTAGAATTCAACTACAATATAATTTCAAATGTCCGAATCTATAGTCCAAAAATAAAAGTTCGACAATACTAAAATTCAATCATAACATAATTTAAAATTACTTGTTGGTTCTTGACACACAGTAGTTTAGTATAAAAGTTGCATTGCATCGCACATTAATTTTAACTCTAAATTTGAATATGCATGTAGATTCTTCGACCATGACAATGTTATCTTCAAATTCTCTAAGTGTATCGTATTACATGAGTTTTTTTCTCATGGCCATATCGAGAATCAGCAGTTTGTACATCTTACCTCTACAATATTAACAGTGATCATAAGTAGAATTTGCAACAATAGAACCCAAGCACATTCACTTGCAAGCAGAAACTAAGAATCATAGACAATGGTATGAAGAAATTTTACTCATGCATCCAATATGTTTATACACGCTTAAGAAGTAGAGGAACTACGAAATATACAATGAGAAATAATTCGGAAGAAATATTCAAAAGATAAATGAATTAATCGCAACTTTCATCATTCATGTATCACACGTGTTTTTTTAAGATCCCAATTGGTTCTATTATTAAGGCCTTGGATTCAGTCACAAGAAAGTTTTGGTGAGCAGATGATGTTGAGGAGAGAGAGAATATTTGTTGGTTGGATTGGAGAAAATGTCTCTTTTCTAGGGAGCAAAGGGTTTGGGGTTTATGAACTTGAAGCTGTTCAATGAGACTTTATTGATGAAGCAGGTTTGGAGGGTACTTACGAAACCTCAGCTTTTGATGAGCAGGTTGATCAAGGCCAAATACATGAAGGAGGAAAACGGTGGACACTGGAGTGCAAATGGAATCAATCTAGGACGTGGAAGAGTTGGGTAACTTCTAAAAAAAAAACTCAGGTCGATCCTCAGAGTGCAGATTGGAGATGGGAAGACAACACATATGGGAGGATCCCTAAATACGTACAAATCATGAATTTAAACCAAGGGGAGCAGAGTGTGAAGGGTTTGGAGTGGGTTAGTCAGCTGATGTTGCATGAAGAGAGAGAGTGGAATAGATAGCTCATTACAAATATTTTCTCTCAGAAAGAAACTGAAGCTATTTTGAGTATTCCTCTTAAGGTTCATAATAAGTCAAACTCTCTTATTTGGCATCTAAATGCTAATGGAGTCTTCACAGTCAAGTCAACTTATAGCATGATTTAAAAATGATAGCATGAGAAGAGTTCAACTTGAAAGCAGCATTTGAATGTGTGGAGAAGAACTTGGAGCCTTATAGTTAGAAATAAGCTAAAACATTTATTGTGAAAATGCTCACATAATATCTAGCCTACAATGGACAATTTGGCTAGGAGGAGGAATAAAGACAATATTTGACGTGATGTGTATGGGAAGGATGAATAAATTGTTGGCCATCTGTTCTTTTTTCTTGTGTTAGAGCCAACAATGTGTGGAAATTGATACCTTTATCTTGGGGGTATGAGGAATATCCAGAGAAAATTGGCAAATGGTGGTGTAAATTATGTTCTGGACCAAAATCAGAATCCTTTGACGACAGGTTGCATGTAACTGTTCATATTTTGTGGTGGCTCTGGAAAACAATAAATTTCTGGGTTTTTTAAGGAAAGTGGGTGGTTGAATTTGTAGTGGTGACTGAGGCAGTTTTTGATCGGCTGAACTCGATGTAGGTTTAAGGGTTTGACCAATGGCTTGTGTAGCTGGGGCCTGGGGGTGTTAGTTTTGGTTTCCTGGTGGCTTGTGGTTGGAAAGATTGTTCACTATGATACCATTGGTTATCTAGTAGTAGAACTTTTTTCTTGTGCATAGCTTTGGGGTGCTTGTTCAGTGTTTCTGGTTTAAGGGACATGATTGGCTTCTTTTGTTTTTCAGGCCGAGTAGCAAGTTTGTTGTGTTGTTGTTGTTGTTGTTTTTTTTTTTTT